AGAGAATTCAGTTCAATTCATTTTTTATATAGTGTCAAATCACAAAAACAGTCACCTCAAGGAAGTTTTTGGGAGTCCCAACAACTCTAACCAAGTATAACACCATAGTTATTGTCTTAATTCACATGTCATGGTCTGAATAAAGCTCGTGTTTTGTGTGGATAGTTATGCTACAATCATGGCCAATAATCGGTATACCATACACACGTTGCTCCACATTACGTAAAATATTTTAATTGGTGAAAGTAATGAGGTTAGGATTGTAAAAAAAGAAAAACTGAATATTTCATTAATTCGGTTTATACAACCTGATTGGATCCCTCCATCCTGATAACTGCTGCTGTGGATAATGGACCCAAACCATCCTCTGCATCTCCTACTGGACCTGCAGATAAACACTTCAACAACTGTTTCAGCTTCACTGACACAAAGATACAGAAAATCTACACCTCACACCACAATCCCTGTACTCAGTTTAGACATAAGATCCTTATTGTGTCATACATGCATTTATAAGACTGCTACAATGTTTTTTTTTTTTGTTTTTTTGTCTTTTTAATTATTTTTCAAGAAAGTGGACGTGATTGACAACTTCGAGGCAGTAGTACCTTAAACATGACTTTGACCAGAATCTGATTTGTGACATGTGACAGTAAATTCTTCTGTGTTGTCACAGTTCAGTGTCATATTATGTCATATCAACAGTTTATATCAGTTTGTTTATTTTTGCATTATTAGCATTTCTGGTCTGTTCACTGTGATTTTCTCTTTATCTTTCATTATTATTTCGGTGACATCTCTAACACTGGTCAGCTCATCACATTTCAGTTCATGACAAACTTGAAAGTTGGAGTCTAAAGGTCTAAACTCTTATGCAGGGTTGAGGCCACAGCCCAGGAAGTAAAAGCAGATATTGTGTTTGGTGGTTATTAATTAACTAGAACACCATGACAACATGTGAGCTCTGTAAAATAACTTTGCTTTTTTGAAGGACTGTAAGGTACAAGCTGTAAAGATGTGACATTTGATGAGTGTAGAAACTTTCCTGAACTGTAACGTGTTCAGAGACATTCAGAGATCCTGTGTCCCTGAACTCGAACTACTTACAGGATGTCGTCAGTTTACAGTAATACAGTCATCTTTGATTGAATCTGGTCAAAGGAAATTAACTTCACTGGTATACATTTAGTTTATAACAAGCATATTTTAATGATATATTATTTGAAAAAATAAACTTTTGATTTCATGTATTTCAGCTGCATTTTACTCAGAATTATTGCTTCATGTTCGTGAGGGTCAAGAATTTTTCTTTGTTTTGAGTGTGAGAGCAGAGGTCTGGCAGGTTGACAATCTAAACCCTGTGATGAATCCAAATTTATGTCTTTGGCTGCAACGAAAACTTTAGTTCAAACTGAAGATAAACACTCTGAGAACATGCTGACTTTTCCTACTTGAACTTCTGAAACACCACAGCTTCACCTCCTTTGTGTCATTTTTATGTTATATTTAGGTTTCGTTTTTTTTCAAAGGAGAAGTCAAGATTTTCTACATTTTTCACTTTGGTGTCGTTTTAAGGAGCACAAACTGAAAACTATCTGAATGACTCTGACAGCGCCCTCTGACGGACACAAGTGTTATGTGCGTGTTTCAGTTTAACACGTGATTCATGAAAATGAAAGTAAATTCCGACACTTTTGAACTGAGCTGAGACGCCATTACAGGGAGTCAGATCTGTGCTGAAAAACACACGTTTGGGGGATTTTAATCAGAAAGTTCAAGAGACACTAATTTGGTGAGTTAAAAATACTTAAAGATCAAATGGCTGAGAAACTCGGACTTGTTGAAAATTTCCTGAGCTGCCATGTGTGTTCAGAGACTTTCAGAGATCCTGTGTCTCTGAGCTGCAACCACAGCTTCTGTTCAAGCTGCCTGCAGAAATTCTGGGAACAAACTAAAAACAAAAACTGTCCCATTTGTAAGAGAAAATCTTCAAAGGAT